GAACCAGTGTGCGAGGAGCACGTGGCTGTTCTTGTGATTCGCACAAAAGTACGAATTCCAGTAACTGGGAGAGATGACTCACACGTGATTTGATCTTATACGATATGAGTGTGTTGCGGAAGTTTGGTTGCTACACCCTAGGCCTTAGTCACTAAATAGAAGATACTGGCTGCTGAATGATCAGCTCATAATTACACTCGGCTGATGGGATTATCTTTCAATCAAGATATTTGCATTGGACAAATAGGCCAAATAAAGACACGGGCTTTCGAACATATTTCTTTGCATAGGGTTTGCTTTTATTTTGAATTCAAAAATTCACGTTACATTATTCTTGAATGTTCATTATCAAAATTATGACGTTGCCCACATAAATCCGCTGTTCAGAATGTAACAACAAGATGACCGGATTCATTCATTTGAATATCTTTGTGTTATATAATATAAGTACAATATTAGCGAGGGTCTTGAGTATTATAGGCTGCAGATTCAAAACCTTGCAGACGTTATCCTTAGGACTTGAATGTTTTATAGTTTGCCCATATTACCGTTTGATCACTGACTCTGGATACGATGGTTCAACGACACCCAATGGAAAATCACGCGGATGGTGCTCCATGTGGTTTACTGGCCAAAGATATTCAAGATCTTCAAGGATGGGGTCTTCGCGGGCATTACATAAACTGAGACAATTGGTTTGCAAACGATTTCCACGGAGTTCTTAACATATCAAAGACACACACGCACTGACTGAAGAGAATTGCTCGTATGCCATGTAGGCTTACTTTCCCCAAAATCCATGCCTTAAATGCGGTTAAGTAATTCAAGATAAATTTGAGTCTGGCTGTGAAACTGTTCACGTGAATATACTAAATAGTAATTCGAGTCATGACACAAAACCAGCTATAGTTAGTAGAAGACCTGATGCCTAAACTGGAAATGCTCGTGCGAAACAATTGTCATTTGGATCGCAGACCTACCGAAAGATACTTATTTAGAAAGTACGCGTAATCAAGCACTGGGATAGCGTTTGCATTTAAATGAGTTTGCTACTTTGAAGTCGTAGAAGAACCGCTAAGGTACGAATGACGAAAACAAGGGTACTCGCTACCTATATCGTTATTGTAGAATACTTACGTCCAATTGCTGAACTATTGTCAAGCCCATCGGTGTGTAGGCCAAATCGGAGGGACGCGTTCACCTCAGAAACCAAATCAACTGGCGGAGGTTTAGTAGCGGTATTATAAACGATAATCAATCAGTGTTAAATGTACTTCCCTGAAAACATGGCTTTCTCAGGGGAATCACCGTTCACTCAAGTTCCGTACAATTCAGGGAAGATGACACAAACTACGGCGAATGGGCCGAGGAACAGGAGTCACCAAGTTGGTTATCGAAAGAGCACAATCATGACAGGCAAAACGAAGAGAGGCGAACATACCGACAGTGACCGACGGGTTGACCAATCAGCGAGTGGGGCAGGCATTCATTCAGGTACACGAGAAAACGATTAGTAAGGGGGTCGAAAAGATCACGGAGACTGATGTATGTGTGTGTTTTGGTGTATGCCTGTGCCTGTTTATACACGCCAGTCGAGTGATGCCGAATTTGGTGCCCAGTTCAAACAGTCAAGTCCAGATCAAGATAAATGAAGCGAGGTGTGGTTCAGTATCTGTGTCTGTGTCTGTGTGATTGCGTTTGTGTTTGTGTGTGTGTGTTTGTGTGTGACGAAGGGACAACCCTCAAGAGAGCGGGGGAATATCATGCACACATGTGGTCAACGTCTAATGAGTCACGAACATATCGAAACAGGTTCAAAATGTGGCAAGAGTTTTTGTTGATGAATGAGCAGGGTTGAAAACGGGCAACAATCATATTACATCTACTTAGGGAAAAGAGTATCAAATACGGCACTGAATTTCTTCTTGTCCATTTATCCCTGCAAAATGAGTTTAATGAGCAGTAATTTAGGTCAAAGGTTGTTTCAAACAGATATTTCACCTCTTCAAACTGAACCGAACTGAAAAATATTTCATTCCGCGTTCCGGAATTTCTTATGATCAAAATTTCACGGGGAACTTGTTCAGGCTTAGTGAAGTATTATTTTGGATATTCCATGGCCACCGAACAGTAAAGTCACATTTAGTTTTGGGGTAACATTGTTAAAAGTACTAGTATTCTACTTTCGATCAAGTACGCGTTCACTCGGTGGTTTTCGTAGTGTCAGTTAGTGCATCATTCGAGTAAAAGTAGTTATCCCATCATCCTCGAATACGTATTGCACACTCATGGACAACCGGAAACGCCACCCGGAGAATAGGATTACCGCACAATGAAAGGCACTACTAGGTCGGGTGTCGTAACGATACCGTAGACCATCAAAATGACCGGTCGTAGCTGTGGTAAAACCTCTGACCTACAAACGTACAAAAATAGAATTCCGCTTTACCGTTTGCCTAAGGAAACACTGCACGGATTCAAGAAAAGATAGGGATATGTAATAAACTACATACTGGAAGCTTTTGGTTGTTTCCTGCTCTCAGTTTATTATTTGCCTGATTTTTTTGCACAGTGCATCCCTGACCCTGACTCTTATTATGTAACTTCTGAAAACATGTAACTTTGCAATCCGGGCAGTACTCTGAGCTACTTTCGTGATGTATTAGTGCTAGTGGGTATGAACTGATTTTATGCAATGCTCAGGCCACAAAATTCCCACTTCTCAATGGGTTTTTGTGTGAATCGAACCGTTTCTTTTGTAGAACCACTAGGTGACGTACGTTTCGTCAAATATTTGGGAATCGTTGTCCGAGAATTCTTGAAACGGTCGAGGTACATTTCACAACCTACTAGTAAAATTAATTGTTTATTTTTTCAGCTACAAAAGCTCATGCATTCCAACGATGTAGATTACAGTTTCATATTTTCGTATCGTCTTTTCAATAAAATCCAAAAACAGTTGCACCTGTGTGTTTAATACTTGGCTCAAACATTTTCACCACTGAGTTTCGATCAATAGCCAGTTGGGTATTTTCCATAATAATCAATAAACTATATGGTAAATCATGTGGATTACGCCTATTAACAAAGTTTGTCTCTGATATTTAAACGTTTCATGACAATATCACTACTGGTTATGTGGTTTTCATCAAATGCATAATGGTATTCCAAGATAGTGAATTTGCTCGCTGTGGAGAATCATCCTTGTAGTAAACGAATGGGGGAAACATTGATGACGGATGCAGATAGGAATTGGAACTACCAACAGATAGTGACTCAACAATGTCTATTGAAGGATAAATCTTCAAAGTTGGAATATGATGAAAATGAGTCAATAATTCGTTGACATGGTGAATCTAGCGTGTGAGTTACAGTACAATGAAAAAAATGTCGGAGGACACTAGGAGATGAACTAGACGTCAATGGTACATTTCCAATTAAACACCTTATCATCCACAATTTCTAAAATCATAGACACACAATGAGCAGACACGCACTTTCGAGAAATGAAAGAGAAACAGGCAAAATGAATGTATCTTAAAGAACTGCTGAAGATGAATCCTATGACGCACAAATGTGACCGCGTAAACGTGAGATTTCTACGATTGGTATAAGGGTCAGATTTCGGAGCTACGGTGGATGGTGCATGAACACCTGCAGGGGCAATGAGTAGCAGAGTTTTCCAAGTTCCACAAAACAACAAATTCACTTAATCCAAATAAAATATATTGACAATGTACAGTTTTCTAAGACTAATGCTTCAATGACAGTCTTCATCGTGGCTGGTGTTTTATATCATTCTTCAGTGGAGGTTCACTTCGATCAGGTACACACAAACACTTTCGAGGCTTTATATGTGCACCATTGGGATCACAGTTTAGATACCCGATACCTCCCCATATTGAGAGATATTTTGATCAATAAGAGGTTATTGGATACAGGCATTGACACTGAATTTAATAATTCCATTTTCAGATGCCACTCTTGGTTGTAACCCTTCCGGACCACTAGTATCATACCGCTCAACTTTTGTTAGCTCCTGTGTGTTAAAATATTTTAATTTATTTTTACGTTTTCCTTTACACAGCTTCATTGCAAAACCAACGCTGGAACTGTTCCAGCATTCACGGATAAGATTAAGCAAGCAGCCCCAGTAAATTGCTAAAACTCCAGGTACATGTGAACATGATGGGGGCGGAAGAGTAAAGAACTACGGATGTGTACTGGACCTGCGGAATACACTGTGCATGTACATGTATTTACAGAACCCAGTCAATGAAAAATTACTCAACAAGTCAATTATTTCGAGAATAAACAAGTGCAAACCAGCTGAATTTGATGAAATAAAGCATAAGCATCCGTGAATTTGGATGGCTCTGGTGAATGCATTATTCCAGGTGTGCGTCACGCATGAATATAAGCTCCTCGTTAGAAATATGATATTAGTTGATGGCCACATCCCAGTGTAATTGGTACCATCCACAGAACGAAGGAAGTTTTCTAGTTTTCTGATACGATCAGCCAATTCAATCACTATGTATCACCATGTACACTTTCGTGAAACTATTAGATCGTGGAAAATAAATGAACAATATTTCTTCAAGGACAACCTACATCCCCTGGTAGTTTGTGGCCTCAGATATTTTCGAGGAGGAAAAGATGCATTTTCTGGTTCTGGGTGACTATAATAATGAGTTTGTCAAATTTGACCCACTACTTATCACGAGCTCTTCCAACATGGTCGAATACTTGCGCGCTCATTTCACTAGCCTTATCATCCAACGAAGGTTGTTTTCTGACTATGCGTCCAGTTCACGTGTGTAGATTTCTGGCTGTTCAAACAGAAGTGGAAGTTCATGGACCACCAATTATTTCTTCTGCAAAAAATTGAAGAGCGCCATTGTGTAAAACAACACAGTGACACCTCTTGGAGAGGTGATCCATTGAATTCGTTGTTGGGTGATGTTTTGGAGCCCAAAAATCGATACTCGGTTTGTTCCCTATGAAGACTTTTCTACTTTCAGGTTGTCACCGACCTTTAGAAAAGAAACATATTCAACCAGATAATCACAGTTACACGCAACATTATCCGACAGATAACATAACAGTCCGGTTATGTAATCCGCGCTGACTGTGAATGAAAGAATCGCATAATATCCGCCAAACACTTCAAACCTGTAATAGAAGCGATACGATAAAATATTACCAATGTGACCCTTACCGTGACTGTAAAGTCAGTACACACAAACACACACGTCTCCACAAAAGTTAAGTCATGAAGGCGTGGTTTATGTTGTGCTTGAATCCAAGGCTGGGCTGTCACGTCTGTGTAAGCAGTCATATTCAATTTTAGAGTTTGAGATTGATTAGTGTCATCATCCAGTTAACTTAAACGGGTTACAGACAATCGGAAAGTATGTCAACGGTCTATCACAAACTGATTCTGAACAAGTTCCTTTTACCCACCCAAACCGTTTGCTAACCAGGGAGAACGTATACGAAATCTGTCTTTTAGATGGAGGATTAGTGAGTCATCCATCCTCTGTGGTTCACTGTCTAATCTATGGTGCACAGTGGTTATTCACAGGCAGGCCAGTGTGTTGGGTATCTTCGTTATTCAATCCTGCATACATTCCTATCAGAAATTACACCCCGAATACATGTTTTTTATGGACCTCAAACAATAATTAGCTTTCATTGGTACAATAAAATATCTTTCAGGGGCCCGTTTATTAAACAGAGGTGTCCATAATGTTTGCTTCCACTACAAATGGAGGTTTTCGAAATTAGATTTCGTGTGATTACCCGTAGTGGAAATGTTACCTGACAGTGCAGTCTCATGTAAATGTTCCGGTGATATCTGCCGACAGCTGGACGGCGAGTATTAGCGCACATTTCATAATTCAAATGATCCGGTAGACCGATGCAAAAACTAAGTGCTTAGGAAAGAGCAATCAACCTAACCGTACCGCATGCAAAAATGAAATATCAGTCATCGATAATTCTCCAGTTTCTTTAAAGTCCTTTGCACGGGCTTTTCAGTAAGCGAAACAAAAGTCTGTTCCTGACCAATCGGGAAGAGCCATTGATGTGGTAAAACGAAAGCACATCCAACTTATCCTCGCTGATCTGAGAATATCTGACTGCAATACAGGTTGGTGACTTCTCCCACTTCGAGTTTTGAACGGTTATTGCTCTTCTGTGACCCATGAGTGTATAGCGATATTTATTCAAGTCACTTTTCTAATCCTTTCAGTTTCTCTCTCTTCATCTCCATTTTCTATTCTATTTTTTCTTTCTTCTTCAACAGTGTCTCCTGTTGATTTTCTCGGAAACAACCTTTTCCTTCTTATCTAATGACCTCAGTAGTTTTTATGTGGGAAATTTTCTTTACGTGCGATAGTATGTCTTTTTTCGTCCGAGAACTTTTGCCGGTTTCGTTGGTCAAATCTAAACTACGTCACCTGACTTGAGCGGATATAATGGTTTGCTACCTCGATCGCAAAATCCTTTCTACACTGACCATCACAATTTCTTTTTCAGTTTCAATACTGAAATTGCTACGACATATGGTCCAGTATCCAGCACAAACGGCTAGGGTCGTGCATGTGCGTCTTCCCAATAGGCGGGTCTAATCCCGCTGTCGGAGAAGACGTATTTCGAAGTTCAAGCTGAGCGACGAACGGATCGCTGCCCTCGGCCTTGCACTTCTTGATTATCTTTTTCGCGTATTTGACAGAGCCCTTTGCTTTCTTATTTGACTTATTGTGGTAGAACTGATTATGTGGTAGCTGCAAAGTCACATCTCCGAGAATGGCTGAAACCGAATTCGGGAATCCAAGTCGTGCAAGCTGGACTCGCATTCTTTTGATAATTTCTGCAGATATTTCTGCCCGCAGAACGTCGATATCGACTGAATCAACTTAGTAGTCAAAGGTCTTCAGTAACCGTCCTTCTCGTAGATGGAGATATCCAAGACCACAGGGTCGGTCAGGTATGTGGTTCGTAGTTATACTTTCTGAGAATTATCAGCATAAGTGAAGGTCCTCACGGTGCGCCATAAAGCGGCCTAAACACGATAATAATCAACGGATTTTGGTCTGAATAAAGGTCCATAAGTCAGCCGAAGGTGTGATCGTTTTGCTTCTCCAGAAAACACACAAATGCCAGTAGTTCTTTGTCAACTTGGGCGTATTCATGTCTACAACTTGTTCACTTTCTACTGTGAAAATCGAGTGGGAACACATTTTGTAAAACAACGGCTCCCAAGTGATGTTGACCAACATCACATCACATATATAGAAGTAAGGTGTGGTCACTTTATGCTGACTGAGGCCTTACAGATAAACTGTTTATGCCATCAAAAGGTATTTGCTCTTCATCTGACTATAACCACGTTTCTCACATATGCGTTATTCAGCGGATCAGTTTGATCAATACTGCTGACTCTGGTAGGAATCTTCTCAGGTTTTCCAATGAGTTAGAATGTGAGACACCTTCGGTATCCGTAGGCGAAGGCACACCTACAAATGCGCTGGACTTTTCCGGATTCGTATTGGTATCTTTGAAATCGACAGCTGTTTGGCAAAATGCTAACTTGTCTCGCTTCGCTTTATTTCCATCGAGGATTCATCGGTGCAGAATAAAGAACCTTCTGTTTTGCTCCTCGATATTTTGGCTCAAAAGTAAGTACATAATTTACTATGCAGTTTACTTCAGGTAAGTTACCTATCATTTTGAGAATCCCCTCCTGGAATAATCTGCTCAGCACCTTCAGACGGAAGAGTAGCCACTTCTACGGGTAAGGCCACACGATAGGCCAAACTAGAGGCTTCATCCAATTCTACATGCCGAGACTCGGAAGCTAGATCAAGTTTCATAAAGCAACGCGCGTTTTCCAACTCAGGAGGGAAGTCGTCAAAACAAGTAACGGAAAGAACTGTTGCACGAGAGAATTTATTAGCGTTTTTAAACCGATGCAGTCGCGAATTTTCTCGGAAGCTTTTGTCGTGACCACAATTTGACTTGTGAAACCCGTTATTAGTCAATTTCAACCAGGACACTTCTCGTTATAAGAACTTCCAACTCGCATTCGAATAATTCTCTCACTGAGTGTGAAACACGCTCTGTTGGTAGTGTCATAGGTTTTGCGCATTCCTTTACGCGTGAAGTCACAATTCCCGGAAGCGTTCACAATTTCTCATCAAAAATCGATGCATAAGTTTGCAGATTATACTGGACAATATCAGACAAATGGTGAATAAACGAATCATAGTAGAGTTTTACTGAACCCATGTTTTCGATAGATTCACCTCCAAGAATGGAGATATAGCTCTGGTCGATCACAACAAAGTTTACGAATGACGATGGTCCATCTTTGGGATTGCCAACTGGCAGCGATGTCTCACCCATGGGATGAATCTTGTCATCGTTCCACATAATAAATCTCTTCTATTTTTGTGTCGATGCAATACTGGACACAGCATAATTAAGCATGACGTTCACTATTGCTCCCGTGTCCAGCTGGAAATCCTCCTCTTCTCCATTTACTAACATTTTGGAAGATTACCCTTTCGCTTTTTGTGCACTGTCATTCCATTCACTTGATCTGTTTTGTGATGATTTTGCTTTCAGTCCAGTGTTTTTTCAAGGAAAGATTGTGACTCGAAATTGCTCTGCTTCTTGCAGTTGTCACATGTTTTTCTCTATGCCGGGCAGTTGTTTCTTCCCGCAAAATGTAGTCTGCCACAAAACTGATATTGCTTTAGCACCGAGCGTGCCTCTATACAAATCATGCAACTCGGAAGCATTCAACGCACTCTTGAGTTTTGCGGCTGCTTCCAGACTTCGGCAAATTTCAGCGAACTGCCGAAGTGGTAGTCCTTGAATCTCCGACAACCTTTTATTCACCGTGGGACTGAGCCATCCTAACGCTATCCGATCCCGTACATGACTCTTTTCTAGGTAGATCCCAAAATTGCATGTTTGTGCTAGTGATTCTAACGGTAACAAGAATGAGTCTAATGACCCATCATCATCCGTGATCTTCGTTCTACAACAAAAGGTTCGTTAGTGTTGTTGCACCAACCAAGAGAACATTGTGAATTTAGGCATGATTGTCATCCACTCACCACTCTCCTCAGTGTATTCATATGAAAAGTTACTGATTATCCAGAGCGCCACCGATAGAAAAATGTGGCAAAATAGCAGAAGCTGGATGTCCTTTTATTAGTGCTTTATTGCCGACAGTGTTTGAAAAGTTTCTCACTATGGTCACCACAGCCACTTGATCCCATCTAATCGACCGGTGTATTCTACCACCATAAGCTTCGTTGGGTGGTTGCGCAGGTGATTTTGCGGTCTCGTTACCGATATGGGCAATTTCAGTCACGTTTCCGCAGACACCATGTCAAAAATCATTTTTCCGAAAAAGCCATTCAGTGTACTGTTTTAGTGTGCAACAAGGTTATCACGATCATCGCTAATTCTATGGTGGTGTATAAAGCCTCATGCACCAATCACATTGCTCAATTTATAACGTGCGAAACAAAAGCCTGTTTCCGACTAAACAGGAAACGCCACTGGTTTTGTAAAATGAAAGTATATCATGCAAAAATGGCAGCATTGAATGAACTCAGTTTTAAAAAACGCTCTAGCTTCTGTTGTTTTGGGTTTACCATTTTCAGGAATATCATTTCACACGGGAACTGATGGCCTAGAAGATGTTCAGAATTTTGTATGTCAATCTGATTCGGCGAGCCGTATCCTGATGTTCTCAACGGTATGAGTGCCTAATATGGCAATATATCCCCCAATCCAACACAAATTGACACGCTTACTTGTGCAATGGGGAAAAATATAAGAGACAGGTCACCTCAATGAATATATATGTTATATCTGTTCTTATCAAAGAGACTTATGTTTTGTTGTTATGACTCAATCGTAAACTTGCACAAACCAAACAGGAGTGAAGAAGAGTGATGGAAAAAGACGGTAGTCATCTCAGGTGGTATTTTGTTTGAAGGAACCGTATTTCATATTCATTCGTTTTTCTCTCACTTTTAAATCAATAAGATATCCGAGATCGAAATTTTCGCCTGGAAGTTTTCCTGTTTGATCCATCAGTATAGGCCCGTGATCCAATGAAACCTGATGGTGCGTACGCACGAGTTGAATCGACCGAAACATTGACCCTCTTCAAGGACTGATAGCACTCCACTTGCAAAAAGCATGATTAACGGGATGAAGGGAATCGAATATGAGACTGTGATGAGCAGAACAACACGCGCTCCCGTAAACGAACTTTCATGAATAATAGGATGCTGTCAGACAAACCTAACGATATAGACGCCCAGCTATGACACAGATGTTATCTGAAGTGCACACGGCACCGTGTGAATAAGTGGCCATGGACCGCAATGTATGGATACATTAGATAGCAGGATTTGGCCGAATAACAAGCGTATCTGCTAGAGATGGTTATGTAGAAACAAACCATGCTTGCGACTGAAATGTCTCATTTCGACCACGGCCATGAGTACCAAAAAATTCCTGGCAAATTGATACGAGAAAAATAGTGTACATGGCAATAGTGAACCGTTGGTGGTTGAAGTTACTCAAGGTAGCGACTTCAGTCCGGTTCCTTAGAGTGACTTCAACTAATCTGCATCCCCTGGAATGTATTGTGTGAATTTTAAATTGTGTAAAACGTGTCCAAATAAATCAAGTTTGCTGTCCGGTAATCTTTCGTTTGAATTCCACTAACATAAGAGTAACAAAAGAAAATCTGAGTTCATTTTTCAACACCCTAGGAGATGAAACAAGAAAACTACGGGATAATGGTTGATTTTCCAGTCGAATTGGTTCTCTTTCGTATGGGAAACATTGATTAGTTAAGAGGTAAAGTCAAATTGAGGAATTCATCAACCGTCCGATTGTTATGTCTCAATTTCGAATACAGCATTGTAGATTCCATTCGGTTTCTCTGTAACTAAAGATTATTGACCTTTCTCATAGTTCTTTCTATAAAAGATGAAATACAACCATTTGTGTCTACATCCTCTGACGACAGTCCTGAATTTTTCATGGTAATCATAGGAGACATGAATAATACAATTCGGATAAAATTGTGAAAAATGGGAACTGCACTACAGTGGAAAATATGGCAGAGCCACTGGATGTACCACTCTCATGTGATCGTAGTGACGGCCTAAAATCTGACCAATACCTAACACATCCTATTAAATTTTCATGAATGGGAACATATCTACTCCTAATTCATACATGTTAGGACGCATGTATTTTGTGATTGTCCACTTGTTTTATTGAGAAAACTCATTGACATTGAAGTAACTCGTCTTTATAATATTTTGTGTTAATCAACGAAAAATTATCGCTTACAAACTAATCGGTCTTGTGCACCTCCAGTTTATTAATCGATTAACATGGCTTCTATTTATTGTAAACAGCAATGAGCATCAGGAGAGTGTTAGACTTTGGGCCCTGAAAGACCACAAATTACCGGCTTGGCTCGACGAAGGCAGTTGTGGTATTTGTTTGTTCCAAAAGCAAACAACTGGTCCATCCTGGAATTTATGCTGAAACTAATATTATTCCTGCCAGTTCCACTGCCAGTTGGTATGGTCGGTAGGCCTCATTTTTCAAAGTTTAAGCTGTATGTGAGCTGCGGGAATCTTTCTGTTGTGAACGGTAGTTCGTTGTGACAAAAGTATGCATACGAGATTCTATTTATTGTAAAAGGAACTCTTATCAGATAGATAACTTTGACTGTAAGTGGGGAATGTTTTGCAGTATTCGCTATTGTGATCAACCGGAAAAGTAAAGTGCGCTTTTTGATGTTCGGAAGTGACTGTTGCCATGATCTGTGTGAGGTAGGCGGGTTGTCCTCCAAAACATATTGCCTCTTTCCTTTCGCAGTTCTCAAAGGTTTGCGGAAGTCCATATCTGGGTGCGCAATCACTGATCTAACTGTTCACATTAGTCCAGGATAAAAAAGCCCTAAACTCTACAACGGTTACCGTCCGCACTGTTATGTAACAAATAAATTTCATTGAATGATTCCCCCCGGAGTCTTCCGGTAAAAATAGTCGATCTCTTCCAGATACCAGCCCGTTATCTACAGTGAGTAGTGCTCGCTTTTTGAAAATGCAGGTGGTAATGAAAAATCTTTGGTTATCTGAAGCTATCCGTTGGAAACGGGCTTCATGAATTTTAGGAGAAAATTTTTGTTCGATGTCACTGTTTGTCTTCCGGTGAGGATGCCATTATTTATCGCACTCAATCAATCATCAAAACATATTCAAACCCCGACAGCACATATTACTCATACGTGATGCACGTCTGGGATAATGAATCTGTGATTGCGATCCCGACTATGGAGAGCGATCGACTCCTATGATGGATGACTTTTGTGTAGAGGCCTAAGTACAACGAAGGCATTCCGTTGTGAACAGTGTACAGAACTTGGTTACTATTTGCAATTGAGTAGTAGGAGATTAGATTTCTGTAATATGATTCATCATGCAGCTTGAACGCTCAACTCACCATTGAAGAGCATGACGCCTACAGAGAAGTCATCCATCATAAGAGTCGATCGCTTTGCAGGAAGCGGATTGTTACCGTTCGAAGCCAGTGACGGAAGGGTGCTATTTCATGTAGTGTAGATGTTGACCAACCCGTTGAGAGCCATCCCGGATAACCTTGTGGTTGAGGTGTTCGATTCACAATCATTCACCCCGTGTTCGAGTCACCTTGGGGGCTCGGTGGATGTGCACTGCAACAACGAGAATGAAACAGATGTACAGTGGTTCCATGGTTTCCAATGCTGAGTTGAGCGTTCAAGCTGCATGATGAATCAGAT